ATTGTAGTTTGACATATAAATTGGATATTTTCCTAATGAAAGCTGCAGGTACATACTCAAATAAATTTGAGATTTTAACAGAGCAAAGTACCTGTTGGAAACTTTCACATAGGCCTTCTCTGTCACGTTACTTCCTTTGATGGGAGTTCAGACATCTGGATCAGTTTTGTTTGACTTAGTAACATCTCTAATCTGATAATGTTTTACTTTTCTTCTAAACACCTGTATTCCCAGTAGAGTGGAATTAGGAATGTAAGACCGATAAAACTAAGCCCTCTTGAATTTCTATTAAGATTTTTCATGTTGCTTTTTATATTCATAATGCTTTATTTTCACAGAAATAATACTCCTTGTTTACAGGGGGAAATCCCTGTGTTTTCTTTTTCCTCAAAGATACCAGATAACATTTAAAAATTTCTTTTCCTCTCTGCCTGTGTTCTTTAAAATCTTGATTCTTTTTTACATTTCATAGTTGGTATGTACAGTCTGGGCTGTTTCCTAGTCAACCAGTACTCTCCTAATGGGCAATTCAGCCGGACTTGTTTATGTTTAGTTGGGTTTTTCTAGACCAGTTTGAATATAGCGCTGCTTATCTCATTTGCCTAAATAAAAATCTTGGTGTACAAGTGTTATGAAAGTTGGACTTGGTTTAGACTAAGAGTTGTCTTGAATGGTCAAGAGCCGTGTTTGCTAGCATCACTGAGTCAGCTTTTCTAGGGGCACAGACTAAAGAATTAATTCCGGGTTTGGATATTATTTATCAGGGCTTTGTTTTCTGTATCTCGCTTTCCCCTAAGCACCTGTTAGCTTTTATCACAGATACTTTTTGGGGTAACAGGCAATCACATGGTTAATAAAGATGGAAAGAACTGAAAATTTAATGTTACATTTATAGATTTCTTTCCTTTGCTTTGTTCTCATCCATCTCTGCATTTAAAAAAAAAGTCTAAGAAGCATTCACATTTCTGTGAGAAATCTATACATTTAGGTTAGAAAATGGAGTAAGATATGCTTTTTAATAGTCATCTGAATAAGCCACAGAGACCCATCAACTCACCAAATTTCTTCCCAGCATGTGACTGTGGAAGAAAAAGATGATAAAAGAGACTTTTTTACTCTTTCTAAGTGAGAATCTGCCTGTGGGGTTGTTAACACTGAGTTTACCATCTTGATGATTCCAGATGGTTCCTAGCAATTCTGAATGTAAGGTTGGTTGGTGGTCTTCAGAACAGTTAGGTCTCCAAGAAGAGCATCATCTTTGTCTACTAGAACTTTCTGTGAATTGTAAAATTACATTTGTGAACTAAAGAAAAAAAAAATCCCAATTATCTCAATATAACAATACAACCACTGCAAACATTTTCATGTACAGTTGTGTCACAGTACCTCATTTTCAAATTTGTGTATATTCACCTGTGCTTGCTCAACCCTTCTCCCTCGCCCCACATGGACCCCATCTTCCCTCGCCCCACATGAACCCCATCTTCCCTCTCATTGAGTGAGCATGAGAGGTGGGGGTGTGACCTGGCTGTGGCTTCAGGTGGTCTCTCCAGCTTCCTCTGAATGTGAGCTTTGACTGTGCTGGCTATGATTCTGTCATGTAAAGTGATATGCTTCTCATATATATGGCCCTTACATGCAAGCCAGCCTCTTCATCTGGTGGAAGCCCAAAGGAAAAGTGACCTCTTGCGACGCTGGAGGGAAACTGTCAGTGCTGGGCTTAGCTTATATTGAGAGATGGTATGTTCTTCACCTTCAGGTGTCTGAGTATATCGACAGAGCATGGTTTTCATCTCCTATGCAGACTATGGTCTCTAACCTCTGGGTTAGATGCAACTTCATTGTATTTAATTCTAGTCCTTTTTTCTGTACACAGTTTATAATATATAATTGGTTTCATTTTAAAAGTTTTTAAAATACTATATTTCAACATACTATATCAAGTCTCTTACATTGTAATTTTATAATCATCATTCACAACAGGACTTTGGGGTTTTTTGTCTTTTCAAAAGAATTTTGATAGCCAGTATATTCAATTCAAGAGAGTGAATGCCTTGTAACTTGCACACTTGGGCCCACTTACAATAATGGTTCTGCCATAGACATTTCAGAATATCTGTTGTGCTCAAATTTTAGTATTTCTTAACCATAGGCATAGTCTTATCTGTGCTTAGACTTGTGGGGTCCTTTCTGTGATTGGGCTCTGTAAAGTTTGGAAGTCAGGTTAACTTACTACAGTGCAGTGATTAATAGCACTCGTTTGAATCTGAACTTTCCAGGGTTTGAAACCTTGTATTGCTGCTTACCATTGAAATGATTTTGAGCAAATTACTTATTCTTTCTTTGACTGCTTCCCCATGATGGGTCAAATAAAGTTAATAATCTTTACCTTATATGATAGTCTTGTGAGGATTAACTATATATATATAAAATGTTTAGAATACAGCTTTGTACCAATAAGGGCTGTGTGTATATTACTTGGTATCATCACAGGTTTTGGCAATTTATGAAAATCCTCATAGTACAACTATGAGTCTTGGACACACAAAATGACTTGGATCAAGATTGGGTACTTTTAAATTTTTATTTGTTTATTTTTAAAATTTTAAGTATTAAATATTTTTTTCTTCTTTCTCTTTTGGCTGTACTACATGGCTTATAGAATCTTGGTTCTCTGACCTGGGATTGAACCCAGATCCTAGCAATAAGAGTGCTGAATCCTAACCACTGGACTGCCAGGGAATTCCCTGAATTTCTGTTTTTGTCTAACAGCCAAAGTTTCAGGCAGAAGAATTTGAGTGTTGGACTTGTGAATTTAATACTATATCTAAAGTACACTGTCAACATGTAGTATCTCAGGATTGTATAGAGGCGCTACTAGATGTCCCTTATGTCTCCTCTAGACTGTCTTTTCCTTCCAGTGATGTTATTATCAAAGTCTGTCCTTGAGCAAACTGTGAAGGTTGTCATGAATCCTTTCTCTATACACAGATTCTGTGTGCTCCTCTGGGCCACAATAGTTACTTCTTTAAGAACAGAAAGGAAACTCAGGACTTTGCCAATTTGGTGTCAGTTCTCTGTGTTTTTCATTTTGGTAGCTATGAAGAGGGTTTGCTTTCCACACACCTGGATGCTCTTTTGATAATGTTCTGTTGAGGTAATCAACACACTTGAGAGAATGCTTGTTCCACGGCTGCCCCTTTCTGATTGTGGACATGCATTTGAATGTTTGCAGTAGATACTTGGTGAGAAAACGCACCTTAGTTGCTTCTACTATTCTGCAGTGTTTCCCAGGAACATTCAGAGCCCTTTATAAAAAGCAGAATGTTTTGTGTGAGATGGTCACTGAATTTAATCAAGAAAGTCCATTTGAAAGAAATGACATAACAAAACAATTTTCTGCTATTACAATAGGATATAGACAGAAGCATATACTGTTTCTTAAGTAGTTTCATTTCTTCAAATAGTTACTAATCAGAGGAAGCTGATTTTGTTGTGGTAAGTTTAAATAGAGATTTTAGGAGTTCTAGTTTGTGTTGGTCAAAGTTGTAAAATCAGGTAGAAAGTCTCTGTCCATTGATGGTGGTGCTGAGATTTCTAGTAGCTTTCTTTTCTTCCTGGTTATTTCCCAAAATGCAAAGCAAGAATCAATAACATTTTATAATGAACTTGAAGTATTTAACAAATCTAAAGTCACAACTTTGCTGTCATAATAAAACATTTCAGGCTATTCATTTCTTGTGACACGGAATCCAACCCAAATTTGGCCTGTTTTTAAGTTCTATTTTCTATTGCCCTAGTTTTATTGGCTTTGGGTTTGTTTTTTTTTTTTTGTGGTTTTTTTTGGCCTTTATTACCTTGATCCAATGATATCAGTTTCCTATTATATATACTTTGTGCTCAGAATTGACCTAGGTTTCATGTGGTTTCTCTTTCCCTGAGTTTTATTTCTCATCTGAACAGATTGCATCTTTTTCTTGCTGTTCCATCTGCACAGTGTCACTCCTAAAGATGAGCTTCTTTACCCTGTGAGGCAGTGGAGGAAGCATGGAAGCCATTTGAGGAGCATTACATTAACAGGTGTATTGTTGTAGTCAGATGGTGGCAGTATCAAGGAAATTATAGGATGGGTTAGTATTAGAGTGTATCAATTTGTAAATCCCATGACTTCCCATTTCATGGGTTATGAGTGTCGATGATGACAGTTCTCAGGAAAAAGGTGAAGAGTCTTTTGAGGTCTGATGGTATGTTTTATTCTTTAACATGTATTGATTGCTAACAACTCCTGTCTCTCCCCAGCCTACCCCAGCTTTGTGCATAAGCACAATTTTGGACCCAGCTATTTGTACTTATTTATGCTTTTACACCTTCTTCCTTTCATAAAGATTTTAGCTGGTTTATGACTTGAGTTGAAACAAGGAAAAAAAAAAAAGAAGACCTGATATGGTCTGTCCCCTGCCAACCAGAAGCTTCCTGTGGTATCCAAACAGAATAGTTGCCTCAGTCTGTCAGCACTTCTGTCTTTGAAGGTGGTTTCTGCTTGAAAAGTGGTGACTGTTAGCATAGCTTTTGGATAATTGCTTCTCCTTCCTGTTTTGGGATACATTTTTTTTTTCCAGATACTTTCCTATTCTTGTTGACTTTGTTTTTCCAGAAGACTCAGCCTGTGGTTACAATGTTTCGGGTCCCCCTTTGAGCTTTCTGTGGGATTACCCAATTCTGGGATACCCTCACCAGATCATCAGTGCTAAAGAGGGCAGAGGATCTTCTTGGTTAATAGAAAAGGCCATTTGGAATGACTCTCTAAATCCAGAAACATCCAGACTTTTCCTTCAGTACTTTTTTTCTGTTTGGGGTAGCAGTACTTTTTTCTGCTCGGGAGGGAGGGGCCATTGGGAGGGCTTGCGTTTAAGGGGTTCGGAAACGGGGGATTTAAGTGTGTCTTTTGTGTTTTCAAGGCACTAACACCACTCCCGTCTGTATTTAAATGCTGTCCCCAGGTTACGACTATGGCTATGTCTGCGTGGAGTTTTCACTCTTGGAAGATGCCATCGGATGCATGGAGGCCAACCAGGTTGCTTTATACTTCGGTCAAATGATGCTGAAAGGATTTATTTTTCATGAGTGGGAAGGGAGGGCTTCACATGATCAAACTTTGGAAAGGTACCAGAAATCTATATTTAGAGCATTCCACATTCTAACCAAGAGAAACTTTAAAAGAGGCTGAGAAAGTTTCTCTAGAAAATTTAATGGGCACAGAGTGTATTTTAGAAACACATTCAGTTGTCGTTGGATCATATTCCAAAGACAGTAGGTGGGGAAAAATGACAGGTCTGGAGTGCTTCCCTTCAGAGTGTGACTGAGCTTGGGATCCAGATGCAAAAAAATGATGCTTGCCTATCTGTGATCTCAAGGAACTTCCTGGCACAGGAATTTTAGGTCAGTACTTATACCCAGACCTCGGGTGAAGACTACCAATGGCAAGTTCTGTGGCAGTCAGGTCCTGCCTGCATGTGCTATACTTTTGCAAGAGGGCCGTTGGGGAGAAAAGAGACCGGTTGATTGTAGGGGTCTTTTGCATTCGTCATTGTTCTTTACAAATTGGAGTTGCGTACTCAAGTTCTTAGCTGCATTATAGTCAGAGTTGGTGAATCTAAATCTGTACTTACCTTATGTTTAAAACACCTAGATGTATTTAGCTTTCCACATAGAACTATCATCTGGGTCTTTAACGAACCCTGCCTGATAGTTTGGGGAGGAATTATGAAATGGGTAGAATTCTTCTTGTCATCATATTTCCTTGGGAAAGTTGTTTTCTTTGTGATGTCTTAGTTCCTCCATCTGTGAAGTGGGAGAACGAAACTTAGTGATATAATTTGATTTTTACATCCCCACTGCCTGTGCTTAACACTGTGATTGTGATGTACCCAGAATCTTAAAAGAAGGCTCTGCCAGGGCATACTAGTATTGCATGAGAACTCGTCCTCTCATAGCCTAATGCCCTCTCATCAGCTTTGTTCCATTCAGCATGGCTCATTACACTTCACTTTTTCCCTTCTTTGACCATATTCTCCCCTTATGTCAATGAGGATGACATAACTCTAAATCTTTAGGGATCAAGAAGTAGTTAGAAGAAACCTGACATATCTGTTCCTGTTGTTAGTAGTGTAAATACTGCTAGATCCTTAGACAGTAAGTGGCTTAGGGCTGTATCCCCTTGACAGAGTTCCTGGTTGATTTGTTCAGTGTCCATCATTGAGCCAGTCATTTAACAGATGCTAATTATGTGCCAGAAAACGCTACTTGCCAATATTTGAGATTTGAGAGGAGGATAAAAGTCCTAGTCTGTATACTTATGGTTGATTCCATTCTAACAATCTGTGCTAATTTGAGAACACTCATTTAACCCATAAGCATTTTGTTATTATCAGTGAATAACTTTTAAATCCTTTGCCGCTGTGCTAAGTACTGTGAGTGGTAGAAACAGAACTGGCAAGCCATGGCAGTTGCCATTTCTTTTGTGCCATTCTCCCAGCTCTGTGTTTCTCCTAGAGGGGTGTTGCTTTTTATCATAGCTGATTAATCTGAAAAAATAACAATGTTGTGTCTTAACTGCCTCTTCTCTTTATCCCTACCCAAAATCCTATCTATCTAAAGTATCCAGCCTCCTAAAGAGTGATGTCATGTGAAACCAGGGCAGGCTTCTTTAAAAATAAGGATTATCCTTATGCTGGATTTCTGTTAGAGCCACATCTGGATAAGCAGTGTCAAGGGGTTGAGGCCTATAGACATCTCTCCCCCAACCCTTCCCACACATTCTTGGAACACTGTTAGGACTCCTAGATCCTGCATGAATGACCCTTGCCCAGTGAATGGTACACCAGAATAAAACAAGAGCAAGGTCAGAATTTTTCTAGATGTGAAATAGATTGTTTTGATGGGTAGCCATCCTCATGCTTAGGGTACCATACGTTACTCTGTGCAGGAGAATAAGTAAGAGACAGCCTCTGTCTTCTAAGAGCTTATGATCTCAGACTAAGAAAGATGACAGAGATTATATAGTGTTGATGAGTTCCATAGAGTGTCCTCTCAGACAAACTCCAAATTTCTGTCTGGTAACATTTTCAGTGTTCACTAGAGTTATTTCTTAATAAGACATTGCTATATTCTTATTCAGATGACCCCATTTCCTAGATTTTTATTCTTCCCTAGTCATGGGATAGAGGTCACCCTGCTAATACTGCCATGTAGTAGAGTCTTCTCACTGAACTGCTTAGACTTCATGATGTGGTCAGTATCTTTTTTTTTAATAACCTTTACCACAAGTCAGGGCTTCCCTGATAGCTCAGTTGGTAAAGAATCTGCTTGCAATGTGGGAGACCTGGGTTTGATCCCTGGGTTGGGAAGATCCCCTGGAGATGGGAAAGGCTACCTACTCCAGTATTCTGGCCTAGAGAATCCAATGGACTGTACAGTCCATGGGGTCGCAAAGAGTCAGACATGACTGAGTGACTTTCATTTTCACTTCACCATGATTCAGACGTATACAAATCATTTTGATAAGAAAAATTTTGAGAATGGGATATTGGGAAGAACTTTTGTAATTAGGTAGTATAGCATAGAAAAGAAGAGTGCAGGTTCTGTGGTCAGATGTTAATGTTACTTCCTAGCTGGGTTTTCTCTGGCAAATTTCTTAATCTCCCTCAGCTCCCTCTGTTACTTGTACCTCAGGGGACTCTGGAGCAGATGCAGTGAAAGCTTGCATCCACGAGTGCCTGCTGTGTACCAAGTACCTTTCTGGATGCTGGAGACGCTGCAGTAAAGAAGACACATATAACTTCTGTTTTAGTTATAGAAGTCAGAGCATGCACAAGTAGACAAATTTAAAATAATATATGATAGTGCTAAATGCTATAAAGATACTGAAGCAGGGTATTAAGAGAATGCATATAAGGGCAGTTTTAGATGAAGTGGTTAGGGAAACTTCTTGAAGAATAACATGGCATTTGAGTAGTGACTCTTGGTGAATAATGTATACAGAATACTTACCATAGTGTCTGGTATCTAGTAAGCATTTGAGACTAGACTGTCATCTCATCCTCCTCTTCCTCTTCTTCATGTGAAATAATTTCCAACCATATTTTTGGAAAAAAAATTCATATATGGATATTCTTTAAGGTAATAGATGTGGATTAAGCTCCCAGTGATGTAGCAGTTCAAAATCTTATGAGAGCCATAAGAATGTGGGGGAAGAAGTCCTTAGGGTAAGGAGGAAGTGTTTGTGAAAGATGTCTATTCATCTCTTCTCCTTCCTTCCGAGTTTTACTTATAGACCAAATCAGTATGGATTCTGAGTCACTATCTTCAGGGCACCTCTGAGTAGTCTGTATGTATGCTTCTGAGGAGGTTTCCGTGAGATGGTTTGGATTGAATTTTTTATAACTCTTTACTATCTGACTCAGTGTGAAATGTCTTATTTTTCATAGACTGATACTTACAGGTCTGGGGGAAGGGAATAAAGGAGCCCTCTAGCTTGCTTTCTCAGATACTGTGGGGTGTGTGTACATAATGCGGCTGTTCAGGTTGATGCCTGAGGCCACTTCAGCTCTTTCCCAGTGCCTTAATGCAAACAGCACTAATAGGATGCTCTGCAGCAGCACTGAGCATGGTGGCCAAGGGGACTTAGCAGGGCAGCTCTTACTTCCCGCAGAGGTCTGCCAACTCCTCCCATCTCTGTGTAGGAGAACTGGAAAGCCAGCAAACAGTGTGAGGTGCAGACCATTGTATACCATCCCCTCCTGGGAAGAGTATTTCTAGCAGTATCATATGCCCTTGGCTTCCTTTATTCTCCAAGTGCCTGGGGATTGAGGGTGACTGTTCCCTCCTTTCGCCGTGTGTGCCGTTGCACTGGGACCCGGGGAGGTGAGCAGGAAGCACTGTGGTAGAATATCTGTGTCAGTGGTTGCCCAGTTACACGCGCCCTCTCAAACTGTTGTCATTTGGTCTGCAGCATTTTATTCTCTCAGATATGCGGGTTGATGTTTATTGACTATTTCTGTTCAACCAAATAGTCCCTAAAATGCCCTTATAGGGCTCTGGGAGAAGAAGTTATTTCTGGAGTTTTTACTCAACTTTCCTAGCATCATTGGCCGCCTTTAGCCAGAGATGACTTGGCTACATGACAGTATCAACCTAATTTTATAAAGTGCAAGGGAAAGAGTGCTGTTATCATCTAACCTGAAAATTCCTTAAGACACTGGCTTATGCTAGTACATGAGATGAAGGCTGTAGAATGCGTAAAGTTTTATGAGTGTTTTTTTGTGTGTCAACAAACTTAAGAGAGTTTGAGCTTTTGTAGATACCAGAATAGCTAGGGTATTTCTGAAGGTATGTGAAGGAAGCCAAATTTTAAGTGGAATCTGTTCCCCCGAATGAGATGAATAGGAAAAGCCTATGTTTTGGGGGATGGGAAGACTGTTCTGAGACCATGATGGAAAAAATGAGCAAAAACCCAATTTTCTTTAATCTTCTTTAGGCTGGTAACAATATTGTATGAAACATTTTAATACTTAAATTGTGTGCTTTCCAGGTAACAAAAAAATAAGAGTCTTTATAAATTCCTGCAAGGCTGTGATATTGCCTAAACCCTCATGCTAAAACTACTTCACTGAAGAGAATGTGGCATTCTGGCCAGAGCTCAGCTGTATAACTTGTGACTTGAGTCATGTCATTCTTTTGTAAATCGACAGTTATTGAAGATTCCCCCTTTTTGGAGAGGTGGGATATTCGGGAAAATAAAATATGATTTTAAGGATTGGTGATCTGATTATGCAGTTTGGTTATCTGTCCAGTGATTTGAGTCTTGACTGGGTACCAAGCAATGTATCATAGTAGTTAAATACTTGGACTGTTTTCTCCATCTGACCTGCTCGGTGGTAAATACATGGACTCTGGAGGCAGACTGCTTAGGGTTGTTTCCCAGCTCTGTCACCTTCTACTGTGTAACTTGGGCAAGTGGCCTAACACAACATCTCTGTGTCTTAGTGTTCTCTCATCCTTCTAGGGATTAAATGA